ATAAGAGGGGAAACGGGGGAAAGGGGGAAAGAATGCAATTGGGATTCTACTCGGACAGGCAAACGATTATAACGATGCTTGGAAGCCCAGGCGGCTGGAAATATGAGAATTTTGCTTTAACATTTTTAGCCCGTTGTTTTCTTCAGTTATTCTGCTGTCATCCTGCTGTTCTACACTGCTCCTCCTGTGGCCCGTCCTCTGTCTCTCTCTTGGCTAATTATATATCACTGCTTGCTGGTTCGAAGCTTGAGAACACTGTCCCTCATGTCCATTCTGCAGATGTATACTAACACTTCTCGCCACAAAAGTGATGCCTTTTGCAATACAACGGCTAACTTGGTGGCACGAATGGATTTTGCGAAATCTGCCCGTACTACTTGTGATAATGATGAGCTTCCTCCTGTAAATTCTCTCTCACCACTCGAATGACAGGGAGTATATATAAAAATATATCATCTTGAAATTGCTAAGAAGAAGGCCAATGCAATTACCCTCTCCCCTTTGCTCAAACTTATCATCCATCAACCCTCCCTACGGCTTTCATCCGTTCCAATACTTCACCCCCGTCTAAAAATGGTTGAGGCGCCTTCGAAGAATCAAATTCGATCACTGGAAAATCCGTTTCATCACCATCACCATCGTCCTCTCGATCCTCCCGATCCCCCTGACCTTCCCGCTCTGCCTCCTGCTTCTGTCCACTTCCACTTTCAGACCGCCGATGACTCCCGGTAGCTATAATAATGGTAGACCTTAACTCGACATCTGCTGGGCGTGCGGAGGGGTTAAGAGGCTTCGAAGATTTGGTTGGTTTTGAGATGGGTTGTCTTGGAAGTAGTAAGGTTCGGTGGCTTGGCGGGCTTGTCATGTTTTTCTTCTTCCTCCTCTTCCTCTTCTTCTTCTTCTTCTTTCTCGTCTTTTCATTTACTTTTTTCTTTCTTGGGATGTTGATGTTGAATTTCCTCCCTGAACGCCACCAACCACTTCCAAGGTTGCCCTATCTATCGCACGTGACACAGGCACCCCACCAACCTCCAAACTCACCGACATCGGACACAAGTCGAGTCAATCGCTCAGTTAACCCCGCCACCGGGCCGCAAGAAACACCCAGACGCTGAGATTTTGCTCTTTGCGATATCTGCAACCACACCTAGACGTGGCGTATCGTGACTCTCCTCTTTCCCACGAGTGGTCGCTTCCCCGCGGTCCCCTGCGACCCTCCGGGGGCTTAATCTTGCCGATTACGGCCTTCCCCGGTGAGAAGAGCTTCACAGCGTGGCTGCCCTGGCATTCAGCGACGACCGTAAGCGCAGGGCCAGTGGCAGTGGGAGTGTCGCTGGCGTTGGCGTTGGGAATAGTAACACAGTCGGAAGCGGTGCTAGTGCTCCAGGGAGGATTACAACTCCCACCGGAGCAGCAGCAGGAGTTGGGCCAGCAGAGCAGCACGGCCGCAGCCGGCGTCCCAGCCCCGCAAGGAGGAATACGGTTGGTTCGTTTGCTCTTCGCCCTTCTCCTGCTTCGGTATCAACTTTTATCGGTGGAAGCCAGAGACGCAATGGGCCTACTGGAGGTCTGGGTAGTTCGCCAGGAAGCATTGAGGATACTGAAGAGACGGAGAATAATACCAACAATGCCCAGGATGATCGGAAGAAGCAGCCAGTGAAACGCGCTTGTAATGAGTGTCGCCAACAGAAGGTGAGATGCTCAATTGATATGTTTTGCCCGTTCATTCTTTTATTTTTTTTTTCTTCTTAATTTTTCTTTGTCGTAGATAGGTATACGCTTATTTTTTCCAGTCTAAATGAGCAGTTTACTCATATATTTTGCAATCGGCTAACATTTGTCTTCCAGCTCCGATGCGACGTTATACAAGAACCTTTTACAGCTTGCTCACGTTGCGGTCGTCTTAAGTTGGAATGCAAGATTGAGTCGAATTTCAAACGGATCGGCAAGCGTAGTCGGAATGCTGAGATGGAACGTGAGATAATTGAGCTGAGGCGACAGATTGCGAATGCCAATGCCGCCGCCAATGCGCAACAAAAGCATCAGCAACACCAGCACTCATCCTCCATCAACCAAGGCCCTTCATCAATTTCTACGCCGTTTAATTCATCTCAGCACAACATATATCAGACGTCGACGGGCCTTTCAGGGAGTCAATATATGGGATCGCACGAAGCTGTTGCGTCACTGCTTGATCTTCGATCAGGACTGGATTCTTCTAGTTTTCTTAGAAGCTCCAGTAGCCAGGTTGCAATGGCCAAACGGCTTGAAGGGGTGTCACTCGCGCCAGAACGGGTGACGGATTTATTTAGCCAGTTAGTATTCTGGATTGAAATTATCGAGTGAATCCAAATCACATTTATGCTAAATATGGACCAGGTTTTTCACATTCTATCACCCTTTCCTCCCATTTTTGGATCGAGATAGGTCACCTGAAGAGTATTACTCCGCGTCGCCGCTCTTGTTCTGGTCTATAATTAGTGTGGGTTCGCGTCGATACCAGGCAGACCCTACTCTTCTAAATGCTTTGTCGGGGCCGGTGTCAAGATTGGTATGGAGTGTATTGGCAGATGTTCCTCAAAGCTATCACGTCGTTAAAGCATTGGCGCTGTTATGCACTTGGCCCTTTCCCACCAGCAGCACGTCGACAGACCCAACATTTATGCTTTGTGGTATGATGATGCATATAGCGATGCAAATAGGCCTCCATCGCCCGTCTCATGCCCAAGACTTTTCTAAATTCAGGATCGAGTTCAGAGAAGGGGAGTTAAAAGATAGGGTTAAAACTTGGGGTATTTGCAATATCGTTGCTCAAAGGTATGAATTTTTTTTTACGTTCGTAAAACTTCCAGTACTACACCTCGTACCACTGGGCGCTAACACTCTTATCAGGGTTGCAACTGGTTATGGACAACCGTCGCAAACTTTGTTTGACTGGACGTTGTCATCACCGGAATCTGCTGACCAGAATTTCAAGCTTCCAGCGGAAATAAAATGTCGACTAGATATCGAAAAGTTTTGCGATAAAGTAACCAGAGGCCTCTACAGCAATGCCCGAGATCCTGTCGGGCTATCGTGTGATGATGAAAGATTCGTTGTAACATCTATTCTAACAAAGGACTTCGAGGAACTCGAAGGCCAGCTGAGACAAGAGCATAATTGTGTGTGATTTTCCTTTCCTCTTTCCTTGTCTCTTTACCTCCCACCTCCTTTTTTTTCTCCTTATTTTTATTTTATCGGTGAGTGTTGTGATTTTGATTTTTTTTTTTTTTGTTTTTTTCACCGGCTGGGAGACTTTACCCACTGATAATTA